CATATGGCAAAAGCAATATAAGACTGAATTGCAGACTCCCTAAAATGCCAAGCGTTATAGCTTGCTCCCCAGAGGACAGGTGTTACCTTAGAAATGAGTTGATCCTCGAAACAACTAAATCCTCTTAGACATATGCCCATCTGTTCTGCAACTAACTTCTCTAAAAGGGTTGCATTTTTAACAACAACAAAAAAAAGAGTATTTTTCGGCTACAGCTGGGAGTGGCGAGTTCCTACCTTCTCCCCACAACTGCCTGCAAACTTTTTTCAAAATAAAAAGTCACAATTTCCCCTTTTGAAAACAAACCAACACAATGTTCATTTGAGATAAACCTGCTGCTGTTTTACTCTTAATATCCCAGCCCCATTTTGCCAACTGCTTTCTGGTGCATTTAATAGGTATAAGGCAACAGAGATAGAAGGCTCACAAACACTTTTTGTTTTTCCTGTGTTTTCTTCCATTTGTCCTGTGAGTTGTTGTTTTTTTTTAAAATAATATTTATTAAAGTTTCAAAAGAAGAAAAATCACATTAATTAAAAAAAAAAAGTTTAACAATAAAAAGGAAAAATACCAAGTAGAAAAAAGAAAAAACAGTTAAAAACAATTCCATCTTTTCATCACTTCTTTTACGTTTACTTGTTTCCTGGACCTCCTCATACCTCCCTCTTTGGTATTCCAATTCAATTTGTTAATCCAACAATTCCTTTCCCTCCTTTTTAATCCTAATCTTTAATCTTGATATATTATAACATTAAATTTTTACGTATTAAAAACCAATTTTTCCATATTCTTTTGTACCTATACAGCTAGAAACCACTTAACTTCAATCCAACATCATTCTAACATTCATTAATTTTGCAATATTTCTGTAAATAGTCTTTAAATTTCTTCCAATCTTCTTCCACCGACTCTTCTCCCTGGTCTTGGATTCTGCCAGTCATTTCCGCCAATTCCATATAGTCCATCAATTTCATCTGCCATTCCTCCAGTGTGGGTAAGTCTTGTGTCTTCCAATGCTTTACAATAAGTATTCTTGCTGCTGTTGTAGCATACCATTTGTCCTGTGATTTGTAGGCATGGGTCTGATAGATTTTTCTTTTCCCTGCTGTAAAAGAAAACTCCTAGCTCCCATAATCCCTGACCATGTTAGTTGAGGGCGGCTGATGAGAGCTGGGGGTCAACCATATCTTGATCCTGCTGCTTGGCCACCCTTCCCATATTCAATATTCAAATGTTGTGCCCCTGTATGGACCTCAGGGGATGCCAGGGGCAGCTCAGGAGGTCCAGGTAGCCTGGGGTGAGGTACCGCTGAACTGGAACACACCTCAGTCCGCAGAGAAACACATGAACATTTGTTCTGGTATACAGCGGGATTTCCCGAGGGAAAGGAGTGATACAAGGAGAAGTGTGGACAAGCCCTTCGTCTGAGAGTAAGATCCTTTGAACTCAGTGCGACTTATTTCTGAGTGGACACGTATAGAATCGTGTAGACTCCCAAATGAATAGCTCCATGTACCTAAAAGAGAAGGTAGCTTTCCTTTGGTTTTGCTAAAGGGGGGGATGGACCTAAATAAGTATAGTAACCAGACTGCTAATGGAGTTAAAGGGGGCCATCCGTAAAAGGAGAATTTCTGTCTAAAACAAAAACACCCATCACCATCTAACAGAGGAACTATAGCCTGCCAATGCTCTAAAAGGCAGTCGCGAGAGCTAATTATCCGCAGCAGTATAAGACCAGCAATTCCATCTTGTCAGGCTGAGTAGCAAATCCAAATTGACCCATTTATCTGCCATGCTCTCGCACACTAATGACCCCCCTTGTACCTGCGCTGACCAAATAACCTCCCCTTCTGCCACTCACCATATCCCAGGAAGACATTGAACTGTAATCATTTAGAGGTGCGTGAGCATAACTCTTGGCCCTGTCTCTCCAGCAGCACTTCTAAAGATTTACTGTCTCGGTACTTTGGAGCAGTAAAGTGGAAATACAGTGAAGGACAGTTTTGAGGTTTGCCACATATCTGAGGGAGAGTAACAGGCAAGAGGCAAGGGAAGTATTATTATTATTATTATTATTATTATTATTATTATTATTTTCTATTCTGCTCTGTGCGTGTAGAATCCCACTTTCTTGCCCCAGGCTTGAGCAGGATACAAATATACAGTGGTACCTCGGGTTAAGAACTTAATTCGTTCTGGAGGTCCGTTCTTAACCTGAAACTGTTCTTAACCTGAAGTACCACTTTAGCTAATGGGACCTCCCGCTGCTGCCGCGCCGCCGGAGCACAATTTCTGTTCTCATCCTGAAGCAAAGTTTTTAACCTGAGGTACTATTTCTAGATTAGCAGAGTCTGTAACCTGAAGCGTCTGTAACCTGAAGCATCTGTAACCTGAGGTACCACTGTAATTTAATGGTTTAAATGCAGCCTGGTTGTGATTTGGGTTGCTGGCTTATCAGAAAAACATGCCTGGCCTGCAGTGTCCTGTTCAGCACAGTGGGTTAAACTTTTCCTAGCATGGAAGGAAGCATTATCACCTGCTAATGTCTGTACAGCAGGTTTTTTTTCAAAGTTTCAGCTATAGTGGCAGGTTGAAAAAGGTTGCATCCCTAGCTGTGATTTGCCCATTTCGTGAACTTCACACGAATACTCTCCATTCATAGGCTCACAACTGGAACAAAACGGATTACATGAGCGTGGTTCACGTGTAAAGTTCAATGTGTGTATGGCCTGTGTACCTGTTGTTTGCAAATAGTTGAGCTGTAGAAATCAAGAAGTATGCACACAAACACTTGCAGGTACAGTGGTGCCTCGCAAGACGAAATTAATCCGTTCCGCGAGTCTCTTCGTCTTGCGGTTTTTTCGTCTTGCGAAGCACGGCTATTAGCGGCTTAGCGACTTAGCGGCTATTAACGGCCTAGCGGCTTTAAGAAAAAGGAAACAAACTCGCAAGAACTCACAAGACGTTTCGTCTTGCGAAGCAAGCCCATAGGGAAATTTGTCTTGCGGAACGACTCAAAAAACGGAAAACTCTTTCGTCTAGTGAGTTTTTCGTCTTGCGAGGCATTCGTCTTGCGGGGCACCACTGTACATGTCCAGAGACAATTTGGGCCCTGTGTTCAGTGTAACATGTGTACAAGCCTATTCTCTAACATCCACCCACCCAACAAAGTAGGTCCAAGTGTCATCCAAAGCCTGTAGGTCAATATAGTGATGGACTTACTGTATCTTTCAATTTTGGTTCTCTCAGTTACTCACTTTTCCAATCTTTAATGCAGCTCTCCACATTTCTGCAGCAATTTGCGATTCAAAAAAATCCGCATGAAAATTGGACAGCAATTTCTCCCAATAAACAATTATTTTATGCAGTCTTGAGTAATGGGCACATGTTTGCTCGCAATTCCCCCTATTATGATGCATGTTTGTATGTCATTTTCACTAACATATTTTTACGCACATTTTCTTCCTAATATATGGATTTTTTTTGTTGGAGAATTGCTTCATAAAATCTGGATGAGTGACGTTTTGAAGGACAGGTGTTTTGGTTCACTTATTGGAAAGAAGTGTGAATTAGGTTGTTTCTCATTAAGATGCAAAACTGAATTTCTCCCCTTCCCTAGGTCAACAGGCATAATGAAGTCCAGAGTACCAAAAGCAGGGTGCCGATCCACTGCTGAAAGCTGCCAGCTGAAAAAAGAGATCCTGTTGACATGAACAAACCAAGTGACATGTGAACCTCCCATACTCTCTAGGGCAAGAGTAAAGAACCTTCGGCCTTCCAGATGTTGTTGAACTACAGGTCTCATCATCCTTGGCCATTGGCCATGCTTGCCATCATTCTGATCACATGGAACACTGGGTAGATTAACTAGATGTTGCCTGCAGGCTATCTATAATCTATGATTTCACGCGCTTTGGATTGTATGCCTTGGAGTGTATGTCTCCAAGGTAGCCTCAGGACAATCCTATAAGGTTAGATTAAAAATTGTGTGTGTGTGTGTGTGTGTGTGTGTAATGAACTTCATGGCTGAGCTAGGATACGAGCCCAGGATTTCCTGGTCCAAACCCAACACCGCACCCAGCACCACAACTTGGACTCAAGAAAGCAAGATGGTTGTGATATGAGGACTATTTCTGTGCTGACTGTGACCCCAAATCTATTATACTTTTCTAGTAAAAACCAACAAGAATGTCTCTGTTTATTTGTACAAACGACCCCATTGTTAACATTCTGATTTGGAGCTTCTGTTCCCCTTTCTGCCTTTCGGCTGAAGGCTGCTAGTTAACTGCACTTCCTCATTTTCATTTAACTGTCCAGCAAACCCTAATTATAGCCTCTCCTTATTAAAAAAAAAAAAAAGCCTACATCCAACTATACACAATTTACAGTCTAATGGCCCTTACCTTGTTTGTTCAGCAGAGCTTATATAATGATTCCTGTGATTTTGATTTTTTTCTCTTTTTTTGTGAAGCATAACTCTGGGATTTTACGTTTCCACTTTAAACTGCGAGTTTTACATTAATGTTTTATAACCTTGGGGTTCTAATCATAAAGTCATAAGGACTTTAATTGATTTGAAACTAGCCAGGCCCTGAAGTGTGTACATGTCAAATTGATTCAAATTGATCCAATGTGTTTAAATACAACCCGTGTTAAGAAACTCATAGCATCTTGTGCTACCAGACAGAGGCCTACAGCGCTGTGCTAACATAATTATGTTGCCACCTAGGTACGCTAAATTATTGACTGGAACATATTTTTCTGTGTTTTGTTCTGGGAAGCCAGGAAAATTCACCTGGATGGCTAAGAAGATTGGAACACAATATAGACAACAATTTCTGTGAACCCCCCTGAGACCTGCGGGTATAGGACGGTATATTATTATTATTATTATTATTATTATTATTATTATTATATTTCAGTAAGTGACAACTTCCCACAGTGCACATGCAGAGGCAGCTGTTAGGCAGATCATTCATCCATAATATCCATAACCAAGAGCCTCGATAGCTCAGTTGGTTAGAGCGTGGTGCTGATATTGCCAAGGTTACAGGTTTGATCCCCGTATGGGACAGCTGCATATTTCTGCATTGCAGGGTGTTGGACCAGATGATCCTCAGAACCCCTTCCAACGATACAATTCTATGATCCCGGCAATTAGTGAGGCTACGTTTGTGCCACTTCCACACCTGATCAGAAATTTGAGAATGGTACCATTCTCCCCACCACTTGGTAGAGCAATGTGCTGTTTAGAGATAGTGAACCTGCGGCACTCTGGATGTTGCTGGACTACAGCACCCATCACCCTTAACCAACGGCCATGCTGACTGGGGCTGATGGATGTAGGAGTCCAACAACATCTGGAAGGTGAGCCACAGGATCCCCATTGTTGATGTGATTGACCAGCAGTATAAACTGTATTTGTGGCTGCTCTCCTTCACCACTATTGTCATCTCTTTATGTCAGGGGTAATTTACTTGTGGCCCTCCAGGTGTTGTTAGACTAACGCTCCCATCATCCTCGGCCATTGGCCATGCTGGCTGAGACTGCAGGTCAGCCACCTATGCTTTAAGGTAACAATGAAGGTGTATACCTAGCCAAGTACCGTATTTTTTGCTCTATAAGATACACTTTTCCTCTCCTAAAAAGTAAGGGGAAATGTGTGTGCGTCTTATGGAGCGAATGCAGGCGGGAGAGTCTGCTCAGCGCTCCCTTTAAAGAGAAGAAGAAGAGTTTGGATTGGATATCCCGCCTTTCACTCCCTTTAAGGAGTCTCAAAGCGGCTAACATTCTCCTTTCCCTTCCTCCCCCACAACAAACACTCTGTGAGGTGAGTGGGGCTGAGAGACTTCAGAGAAGTGTGACTGGCCCAAGGTCACCCAGCAGCTGCATGTGGAGGAGCGGAGACGTGAACCCGGTTCCCCAGATTACGAGACTACCGCTCTTACCCACTACACCACACTGGCTCTCAAGAGCTGCGTGGAGCGAGTGTGCGAGTCTTGGAAGCTTTTCCCCGAGGAGGGAGAAGGGCTGCCCTTCTCCCTCCTTGGGGAAAAGCCCCCAAGAGCCACACACACTCTCTGCATGCTCTTTAAAGGGAGCGCGGCTCTTGGGGGAGCCTTCCTCCTGCTGCCCAGGAGTGGCTGTGCATGGCTATCCCATAAACCAGGACAGCAAGAGGGATCGCTGCGCAGCGTTCCTGCTTGCTGTCCTGGCTTCTGGCTTAGCCCCGCGCAGCCTCTTCCGGGCAGGGGGAGCCTTCATCCCCCTGCCTGGGAAAAGCTGTGTGCAGCTATCCCATAAGCCGGGACAGCAAGAGGCTATCCCAGAAGCCAGATCCCTCTTGCTGTTCTGGCTTCTGGGATTCAGAATATTTTTTTCTTGTTTTCCTCCTCCAAAAACTAGGTGCGTCTTATGGTCTGGTGCGTCTTATAGAGTGAAAAATACGGTAGTAATATTTCAATATGATGCTGTGATATGAAAAACAGGGCATAAGTTGGCATAACTCTCAGGTGTGAACACCAGAGTAGCTAAAGAGATGTACCCCATAAATTTTACCATTTCCTAGCCATGTGTCATGTTCCACCACCTTTTTTTCCCCAGGGACCACCCTAGAGCTGGAACTGGAAAACAGCTTCCCAGAGGAGGAGGACCTTGCTTTCAGCCTCACAAGAACATAAGAAGAGCCTGCCGGTTCTGGCCAATGGCCCGTCTAGTCCGCCCTCCTGTCCTCACAGCGGCCAACCAGATGCTTCTGGAAGCATGCAAGAGGAACACAAGCAGTGTCTTCAGTTTTAAGATGGGAGTGGGAAACCTCCAGCCCATGAGGTCTGTATTGTAGCTCTCAGTTTGAGTAAATGGCAGTTCAGGTTTTCTCCAGATTGACGTTTGCTCTGATTGGGCACTAAAGAACGGGTTTTCCATGGGAAAGGAGTCCCATGGATCCTCCATGCTTTCTAGGTGGGGAAAGCAGAACTGTGGATGAGACCCCAGTCTCTCTTTCTCAGCCTACTCCAAACTCACAGGTGGGAAGAACACTGTAGTCAACAGGAGCTTTTTTTGGAGGAAAGTGGAATTTTAAAAATACAACAACCTTGGATTAGTTTTCTGTAGTTTAGCACATGCCAGATATTTTGGACTCGCATCCGTCCCAGCCCGCAGAGTTAATAATCAGGGAGGATGGCATCTGCAATCCAAAAACGTCTGGGGAAAACCAGGTTAGGAAAGGCTGCCTTAGATGAGCAGAGCTTTCCTTGCCTCCTGACACCCCTGCCCCCAATTCCTGGAACTACTAATCTATGATCCAAAAGGACCCAGGCTTTGAAAAACCTTATTTCAAGAGTCGGCAACTTTGTACGTGTGTTATCGCGGAAATAATGCATATGCATTCCTTGCTGATGAATTGGTCTCTGAAGGTTGCGATAATCATGATATATTATGAGTATGCTCTGCGCCTTGAAAAAGAACCTTGCTTGGGATCCAGCAGACCTGAACCCCACACTTTTCCTTCCCAGGCTCGTCTCATGTTCCCTTCCCACCTGCCTTGGCTCTCTCTCTGTGTGCAGGTGTAGGATTGCCTCGCATTAAAAGCTGCACAGGCCCATTTATAATGGGGCTACCTTGCTCTTCAAAGCTAAGCAGCTGCTTTTTCTCCCCCCCCTCCACTTTTTTTTTTGCTTGCAGTAATGGCTGGAGAAACTTGAGAAAGGCGCAGATGCTTTGCTCATTTGTTTTGGCTCTTGCAGCGAAATTGTCTAACAATTGGAGAGGGCCAAGCAGAGGTTAGGCGTAATGGCGCAGAGGGGACAGGATGATTTATCCGCAAAGTCAGCGCCGGGCAGAGGGATAGCTTTATCTCTGCAAGGCCCCACAGCTGGCTGATGGAGAGTTGCTCTTGTAGTCCCTGATAAGCATGCACACACGGCCTGCATAATTCTTTGGGAAAGCTCCTTTGTGGCTGAGCAGCCGATTTCTGCAAACTTTCTGCATGAGTAAGATAAAAGATAATGAGACTCCATACATTTCCTGGCAGGGTTTCCTTCCCAAATGGCCCCCTGTAACCTCCACATTGGAAACAGATTAGAGGTCTTAATATTTCCCCTTATCACAAGCAACACCCTGGGGGGAAAGAGTTGTGCCGGTCTCCCTGCTGCTGCTGCCGCCGCTGCCACCACCATTTGAGATTTGCTTGTAAGTGAGCACAGAGCTGCTTTAGGGATGCAAACTTTGTGTTGGTCGTGCATTCTACTGGGTAGTGTGGAAAAGCAAGTATTTCCGTACTGTTTTTAAGCGTGCGACTTGAACCGTAAGGGAATTTAAAGAACTCCAAATCCATTAGCAACACAGGAAATTGTCTTTCAATACGGCATTTTTCCAAGGAAGAAGTTGTTATTAACATCAGCTATGAATCTGGGCTTAACAATTTAGCACCAAGAAGGTATTATTCATTGCAGGCAATAGGATGATCCTCTGGTGTTGACGTTGGCGTTCGTTCTTTGGCACTCTTTTCTAAGCCTAAAAAAGAAGAAGAACAAAAGACGTGCCATATATCAGGAATGGGCAGACTTCAGGCTTGATGGATCTTCTTTCTTTTTTACTAGAACCCCAAGATATAACCCAAGAGCTACCAACTAGAACCCCAAGCTCCACCAACCAGAGTGAGGTATAAAACAGCTACAGTTAGGCTGCATCTAGACACATCGAAGAAGCAATTCATTTAAACGCATTGTAAACTTATACAGGGAAATCTGGTAGGCAAAGATGGGACTCCACAGTGCCTTCTGGTGTCACAGTGTTATTTTAAAAAATCGCATCTACAACACATATAAAAAGCTTTTTCTTTACCAATCTAGCTGAGTCCTTAGACACAAAGTTAAAACAAAAGAATCGGAAGCCCCTGAGCATACTCTCATCCAGAAAAAGGAGTGAACTGAGCCTGCAGTTGTTTCACAGAAAAGTTCACTCCTGGTTGGCCTTCCACATCTCAGTAGCCTGATTTAGGTGGGGGGGAATTTTGTTGTTGCTGTTGTTGATAAGTTGGGCTTTGGAAACCCTTGCTGATCTCTTGCTAGATCCTGATCTACCTTCTGATCTGCCATGCATTAATTTCAATTGTCCTATTCTCAGGGGAATAGTATTAGCTGTCAGGGCTGCGCAATTTACCACCAGCGACACCCCTTCTTAGCTGATTAACAGTACCCCAAGTATTGAGAATTCCAGGCAAGCAGTAAAAAATATGGCATTTATGTATTAAGCCTGTGGTTCATGAGCTGCATTTGGCTTGGGTGCGTCATAATTTTTTCAGGTCTACTTTATTTATTTATAAGATTTCTTATCTTCCCGTTGCCATAAGGCAGGTTACACCAACAGAATATACAATTCTAAAAACACAGTATAAATAAATAAAAATACAGTGGTACCTCGGGTTACAGACACTTCAGGTTACAGACTCCGCTAACCCAGAAATAGTACCTCGGGTTAAGAACTTTGCTATAGGATGAGAACAGAAATTGTGTGGCGGCGGCAGCCAGAGGCCCCATTAGCTAAAGTGGTATTTCAGGTTAAGAACAGTTTCAGGTTAAGAACGGACCTCCGGAACGAATTAAGTTCTTAACCCGAGGTACCTCTGTACCCCGATAAACTGCAGGAAATTAACTTGGAATAATTTCTCAGCCTGACCAACACCAACATGTGACTGTCAGCAAAAGCGGCTTTAACTTTTGCAGGGCTTTGGGTTGTCTTACAAGAACCCGGGGGGGGGGGTGAAGAGCGAATCGGACCAGAGAGCAGGACCAGAATTGGCTGAGGACTCTTTGGGTCTTGAGGTGTTTTTTTGTTAATGTGCTTTTTTGATTTTGCCACGTGGAACTAAAAGCTGCTTCTCCAGAGACTTTGCAATATGGCTGGTTCACTGCCAGGAGGCTGCCAAATGACTATTGATTTTCTAGCAGGGACTCTGAGTTGCAGGCAGGGAGAATTGCTCTTTAGCCCAACTGCCTGCGGTGAGTAAGAGAAAGTCAGCGCTGTGTAATTTAAGGACGCCAACTTGCCTTGCCAAACGAGTGTGCGTTACAC